ACTTCCGGAGCATAGAAACATGGAATATCGGATGCACACTCAACAAGCTGGGTGGCAAAGCAAGCATATAAGCCACCTTCCCAATCCTCCTAAGCACCTCATAAGGCCCAATGAACCGCGGACTCAACTTCCCTTTCTTTCCAAATCTCATAACACCCTTCATGGGCGAAACCTTCAGCAAGACCTTTTCACCAACCATGAAAGACACATCTCGGACCTTCTGGTCTGCATAACTCTTCTGACGCGACTGCGTTGTACGTAGTCTCTCCTGAATCACCTTCACCTTCTCTAAGGCATCCTGAACCAAATCTGTCCCCAATAGCCTAGCCTTGCCGGGCTCGAACCAACCAATTGGAGATCTACATCGTCTCCCATACAAGGCCTCATACGGTGCCATCTGAATGCTGGACTGATAGCTGTTGTTGTAGGCGAACTCTGCAAGTGGCAAAAACTCATCCTATGAACCTCCAAAATCAATGACACAAGCACGCAACATGTCCTCTAATATCTGAATGGTACGCTCGAACTGTCCGTCCGTCTGAGGATGAAACGATGTGCTCAACTCCACCTGAGTACCCAACTCTCTCTGCACGGCTCTCCAAAACTGCAAAGTAAACTGAGTACCCCTATCTGAGATGATAAAAATTGGAACACCATGCAACCGAACAATCTCCCGGATATAAATCCCCGCCAGCCGCTCTGAAGAATAGGTAGTACACACTGGAATAAAGTGCGCGGACTTGGTCAGTCGAGCAACAATCACCCAAATAGCATCAAATTTCTTCAAAGTCCGAGGAAGTCCAACAACAAAGTCCATAGTAATCCTCTCCCACTTCCACTCGGGAATATCCATCTGCTGAAGCAAGCCACCAAGTCTCTGGTGCTCATATTTCACTTGTTGACAATTGAGACACCAAGCCACAAATCCCACAATATCTTTCTTCATTCTTCTCCACCAGTAGTGCTGCCTCAAATCCTGATACATCTTCGCGGCATCCGGATGAATAGAATACCGCGAGCTATGGGCCTCCTCCAGAATCAACTCTATAAGCCCACCCACATTGGGCACACAGATCCGTCCCTGCATCCTCAACACACCATCATCACCAATGGTCACATCTCTGGCATCGCAATGCTGAACTCTGTTCTTAAGGACAAGCAAATGCGGAGCATCATATTGGCGCTCTCTGATGCGATCATATAAGGAAGACCGAGAAACCACGCAAGCTAACACCCAGCTGGGCTCCGAAATATCTAATCTCACAAGCCGATTGGCCAAGGCCTGAACATCAACTGCAAATGGCTTCTCCCCAACTGGAATGTACGCCAAGCTCCCCATACTCAGTGCCTTTCGGCTCAAAGCATCGGAAACTATATTGGCCTTTCCCGGATGATACAGAATAGTAATATCATAATCCTTAAGCAACTCTAGCCATCTTCGCTGCCTCAAATTAAGGTCCTTTTGCTTGAACAAATGCTGAAGACTGCGATGATCAGTGAATACCTCACAAGATACGCCATACAAGTAGTGCCTCCAAATCTTCAATGCATGAACTATAGCAGCCAACTCCAAATCATGAACAGGGTAGTTCTTCTCATGGGGCTTCAACTGACGAGAAGCATAAGCAATAACTCTGCCCTCCTGCATCAATACACAACCAATCCCAACTCTCGAAGCATCACAATACACGATATATAAACCTGAAGCTGACGGCAAAACCAATACTGGAGCTGTAGTCAAAGCTGTCTTGAGCTTCTGAAAGCTCTTCTCACACTCGTCCGACCATACAGATGAAGCACCCTTCTGAGTCAACTTGGTCAAGGGCGATGCAATGGATGAAAATCCCTAAACAAATCGGCGATAATAGCCTGCCAACCCAAGAAAGCTACGAATCGCTGTGGCTGAGGACAGTCTAGGCCAACTCTGAACCGCTTTTATCTTCTTTAGATCAACCTGGATACCCTTGCTGGACACCACGTGTCCCAAGAAAGCCACTGAACTGAGCCAAAACTCACACTTGGAGAAATTTGCATAAAGTTTCTCCCCCCTCAATCTCTGCAATACAACTCGCAAATGCTCCACGTGCTCCTCCTGACTACGCGAGTACACCAGAATATCATCAATGAAAACAATAAAGAATGAATCCAGATAAGGCCGAAATATATTGTTCATCAAATGCATGAACGCTGCCGGGGCATTGGTCAGCCCGGAAGACATGACGAGAAACTCATAGTGACCATATCTAGTCCTGAAAGCAGTCTTAAGAATATCTGAATCCCTGATCTTCAACTGGTGATAGCCCGAACGGAGATCAATCTTTGAAAACACCCTCGCTCCCTGAAGTTGGTCGAACAAATCATCAATGCGAGGTAGGAGATACCTGTTCTTAATTGTTACCTTATTCAATTGCCTATAATCGATGCACATTCTCATTGTGCCATCCTTCTTCTTCACAAACAGAACTGCGCACCCCAAGGTGACACACTAGGCCGAATGAACCCCTTATCTAGGAGTTCCTGAAGCTGCTCCTTCAATTCTTTCAACTCAGCTGGTGCCATGCGATAGGGCGGAATAGAAATGGGCTGAGTGCCCGGCACCAGGTCAATACCAAAATCAATGTCCCTGTTCGGTGGCATGCCCGGCAGGTCTGCAGAAAATACATCAGGGAAGTCCCTCACAACTGGGACAGATCAATAGTGGGAGTCTCAACTCTAACATCCCGCACAAACGCTAGATATGAAACACAACCCTTCCCAACCATACGCTAGGCCTTCAAGAAAGAAATCACTCTACTCGGAACATAATCAGTCACACCACGCCACTCTATCAGCGGTAACCCCGGCATAGCCAAAGTGACTGTCTTACCATGACAGTCTAGAATAGCATGACACGGAGAAAGCCAATCCATGCCCAAAATAACATCGAAGTCCACCATGCTCAATAGCAATAGATCAACTCGGGTCTCCAGGCCCCCAATAGTCACAACACATGACCGGTACACACGGTCTACAACAACAGTGTCGCCCATCGGGGTAGACATGACAGGTAAAGCAAGAAACTCACAGGGCGCACCCAAATAATAAGCAAAATATGAGGACACATAAGAATAGGTGGAACCGGGATCAAATAATACTGAGGCATCTCTGTGGCAGACTGAAACAATACCTGTAATGACAGCATCCGAAGCAATGGCATCTGTCCTGCCTGGAATAGCATAAAAATGAGCCTGGCAACCGCTTGATCGACCTCCCCCTCTGGGGCGACCCCTGGCTGCCTGATCTCCACCCCTGGCTGGCTGGGCGGGTGGTGAAGTAACTGGAGCAGAAGTCGAGGGCTGACCCCTCTGTTGAAGATGACCACCACGAAGTCGAGGGCACTGCCTCCTCATGTGACCAAACTCTCCGCACTCATAACAACTACCCGGTACTGGAGATGGGGACTGAAGGGAACCCCTCGCACCAGAGTGACTAGCAGATGCACTCGGCGCAGAAGAACCCTGAGCTGATGGGGCATAAGATGAACTCTTAGCTGGGAGGCGCTGAGTGAAGACTGGCCCTGCTGAGACCCATGATTACCACGGCCTCAAGATGCTCCACGATACTCTGGATTGGCCGACTAAGAAGGCCTGAAAGAACGACCTCTACCATGCTGGAACTGACCCCTCAAAGGAGCACCACTGTAACTGCCCGATCCACGAGGCCTCTTGGACTCCCTCTCCTCTCGCTCTCGACGGCGAACTAACTCGATCTCACGAGCGATATCCACCACCTCCTCAAACGTAGCACCCAATACTCTCTCTCTAGTCATCAGAATACGGAGATGGTAGTTAAGGCCATCCACAAACCTCCGGATCCTCTCACGATCTGTCGGAATCATCCAAATAGCATGACGGGCCAACTGTGAAAACCTCACCTCATAGTGGGTCACGGTCATATCCCCCTGCGTCAACCACTCAAGCTGTCTACGCAGCTCCTCTCTGCGAGACTGCGGTACATACTTCTCCAAGAAGAGAGCGGAGAACTGCTACCAAGAAAGTGGTGCTGCACCGGCAGGCCTACGCCTCTCAAAGTCCTCCCACAAGGTAAGAGCAACCCCGGTAAACTGAAAGGTGGTAAATACCACACCACTAGCCTCAAGAATCCCTGTCGTAGGGAGCATCCGCTGACACCTGTCAAGAAAACCCTGGGCATCCTCGCCCTTAGCACCGCTGAATGTCAGAGGCTGGAGTCTACCAAACCTCTCAAGACGACGCTGGTCATCCTCCGGCATAACTGGAACCCTGAACTCCTGCACTGGTGCAACCTGCTGAGCCAGAGGTGCCTCTGGCGTCTGTAGTCCCTGCGCTACCTGCTCAGGTGTGCGAGCAGCGGGGGTCTGATTGCCTCCCCCGGCCTGCGAAGTAGCTGCTGCTGTGGTGGCTGAAACTGCCTGAGCTAGGCCAGTGCAAACTGTCAAGATCTTAGCCAAGGTCTCCTGAAGACCCAGAATCACGATGGGCATAGCTGGTGCCTGAACTGGTGCTGCCGGGACCTGATCCGGAACTGGGGCAGCTGGTGGATCAGCAGGTGCTGCCCTCGCTACTCTGCCTCTGCCACGACCACGACCGCGTCCGCGGCCTCTGGTGGCCTCAGTGGGTGGTACTAGTGTTCGTCCACCTCGTCCGGTCGCTCGTGTCCTCACCATATTTGAGAGAATAGAATAATAGAAGTTTAGTTCTCAGTTCAACAAAGCCGCACGACAAGAATTTCAAGAATGTTAAGTTTTTTCTAAAGGTTCTGCAGCCTCTGGAGGATAAATACAGATGTCTCTGCGCCGATCCGCGAGACTCTATTAAACCGGCTCATGACTTGCGAGACCTAGTAACCTAGGCTCTGATACCAACTTGTCACGACCCCAACCCCGATCGTGATGGCGCCCAACACAATGCTAGGCAAGCCCGACCTATTAACAACCTTAACCCAACTCCTTATACAGTTTATTATTAATCAACACAGATAAATTACCAAGTCATAATACTAGAAATCTGAAATAAGAGTTTAACATGCGGAATCTCAAATAATAATCCTACTACATAACCTATATAGATCCAGTGTCACAAGTCTAAGCCTCTAATACAGGTTTATCAACCTAACGCATAGCAATCTAGGAAATTACGAAATAAAACAAAGGATAGAAGGGAGAGATCAGGGCTGCGGACGCCATTGCAGCTACCTCGATGCTCTCGGATATGTGCTGCTCAGCAGAAAATCCTCACTCAGCCTCAGATGCACCTGGATCTGCACGAAAGGTGCAGGGAGTAATGTGAGTACTCCGAACCAGTGAGTAACAAACATAAATAAAGACTGAGAATAAGAAATCATGGAAAAACACAAAGTAATCTATAATGCGCCAGTTGAAACAAGTAGAATGAAATCAATGAAACACTGAAATCGAAATGCAGAACTGCTACGGCAAATAAGCAATTAAGTGACAGATATAGAAAAAAATAATCAATACATAATATGGTACCCTCTAGTACCCGCTGCGGCGTGCAGCCCAATCCATTTATTTATCGTCGACGGCGCTCACTGGGGGTATGCAGATTTCGGGAGGGGCCCCTTACGGCCCAAGCGCAATATCAAGCCATCTCGTGGCATCAGCTAGGCCCTCGGCCTGATATCAATATCAATATAATACCGCTGTGGCGCGCAGCCCGATCCATACTCAGTCCAGAAATCACATAAGCCCCTCGGGCAATAATAAAAATAGTAGTTCTCAGCCCAAAATATCATTTAGTATATCTTTTAGTTTCAAAATCCGAGTAAAGATGGCTAGGTTGTAAAATAGTAGAAATCGGTACGACTGAGTTCAAGTAATAAATCCATACAGTGAGGATATAGTGACAAAAACTCCCCGAAGTATTCAAATAGTTGGCACGAAGCCCAAATATGATAATCAATACAATTAATGATGACAACAAATAGGCTTCAATCAAATAAGTGGTAGGAACATCACTCGGGACGGACCAAGTCACAATCCCCAATAGTAAACGACCCCGCGCTCATATCAAATGCGTGTCTCACCTCAATATAGCACTACGATGTGCAAATCCGGGGTTTCAAACCCTCAGGACATCATTTACATTCATTACTCACCTCAAGCCGGCCAAAACTCTAGCTAGCTATGCCCTTGCCTCTCAAATCGACATCCTCGCGCGTTGAATCTGATCAAACCCACAACGAATACATCACAATATGCTAAGGAAACAATACCCAATCGAAAACAATCAAAAAATAACAAGAATCTCGAAATTAGCAAAACCCGAGCCCCGGGCTCACTTCTCGAAACTCAGAAAATTTTCACATCATTAGACTCCTTATCTCCCCACGAGTTTATACATATCAAATACACAAGAATCGGAGTTCAATAGACCCTTCAAATCCTTAATTTTTGCTCTCTTAAGTTCAAGCCCTAAACCACCATTTTTGTCCTTTAATTCCTTAAATTTTCAGTCCTAATTCATGAAATAACACCATAGAATCGTGTTTTGGGTCCAAAAATCCTTACCTTATCGAAGCTCCTTGAAATCCCTCTTCAAAATCGCCCACAATTCTCCAAGTCCGAAGTTAGAAAGAAAAACCCTTCAAAATTCGCGAAGAAGACTTAAATATTTCTGCCCAGTCATAACCGTTTCTGCGATACCACTTCTGCGGTCCTACCTCCGCATCTGCGAAAATTTCTTAAGTCCAGCCTGACCGCATCTGCGGTCCTATAGCCGCATCTGCGGCTCCGCAGGTGTGGCTTCCTATCCGCATCTGCGGTTCCAGCTCATTTCCCCTAACCCGCATCTGCGACCAAATTTCTGCATCTGCGGCTTCGCAGATGCGGCTCCTCGTCCGCATCTGCGGAAATAGCTCCCCAAGCCAAAAATTGCACCTGCGGCCTCCCCTTCGCACCTGCGAGACCGCACCTACGATCCCCTTTCCGCAGGTGCGGAAATACCAGCAACAGCAGAAATCTGAGATTTGCCCAAGTCCAAAACTCCCCGTTAGCCATCCGAAATCACCCCGAGGCCCCCGGGACCTCAACCAAAGGCACCAACACATCCTAAAAAATTATCCAAACTTGTTCCAATCATCAAAACACCTCAAACAACACCAAAACCAACAAATTACATCGAATTCAAGCCTAAGTTCTTCTAAAACTTCCGAAACACGCTTTTGATCAAAAACCCAACCAAATCACCTCCGAATGACCTAAAATTTTACGCACACATCCCAAATCACCTAACGAAGCTACAATAACTCTCGGAATTCCATTCCGACCCTCGGATCAAAATCTCACCTATCAACCGGAAATCGCCAAAATACTAACTTCGCCAATTCAAGCCTAATTCTACACCGGACCTCCAAAACCACATCCGATCACACTCCTAAGCCACAAATCACCTCCCGAAGCTAACCAAACCATCGGAATTCACATCCGAGCCCTCTAATTCATAAGTCAACATCCGGTTGACTTTTCCAAACTAAGCCTTCCTTAAAGAGACTAAGTGCCTCATTTCCCACTAGAATCAATCCAAACCAACTCGATCACACAAGACACTGATGATGAAGCATAACAAAGCAGAAAATGGGGAAAAAGGAGCGGTAACTCATGAGACGATGGGTCGGGTCGTCACATAAACTCTATGGGTCAACTTAGTATTGGATTCTTATATGCTTATAGTTATGAGTTCATATCTACAATTTATTGTGATTTAATTTTAGAAAACTTTTGCACATAAATTTGTGCTCCATATGGTAAGTTATAGGTTCAATTGAACCCGTTGGTATAGGGCTACATTCGCCCTTTGTATAGGTCAAATCTGACCACAGTGGTCGACCGAGTTGGGACCCTGCCTGGGTGGCGAAATAATGAGAAGCACCACGACCAACTTCAGTCCAAGCATCGATAGTGTATGTTAAGTTAAAAATGGTACCCAAATAACAACTGAAGAGACCGTTGTATGAAGGTACATCGGTTAAAGAACACGACAAAGATCATAGAACTATATATAGAAGGGAATTCATCGAAAAAGGGGGCTGGACTTTTCCTCTCTACTCTTGATCCGACAATTTCTTCTGGTAAAAGATGTAAACCGATTATTCTCTCTATCTCATCAAAGATGAGATATTAACATCAATAAATAGTGATTGTTCTTACTTTTCATTCATCATGTTGCTATATATTTTTAGATCTGAAGTTGGTTATGCTTGACTAAGATTTACCTCATCATTATCATTAATTGATTTAATCAAAAAAGTTTTAATATCTTTTGGTCAAACAATTTGGTGCCGTCTGTAGGGATTTCTTAGCCAAATTTCCTGGTGTCCTTCAGATCCAAAACCGGTGAAACATAATCACCCACTAGAAAGAGTGGTAAGTAAATCTCACATGCTAATCTAGAGCACGATGCTACATAGAAGCAAAAGTTACAACCAATATCCACGCAAAGCTTGCAAGAGAAGACGGTGCCTGTTGCGCAAATCCCATAAGAGTATGGGTACATCTCATGGGATGACCCACGCACCAGACGATCCACAAACCCAACCCACGCAGAGCCAGGGCATTTGCTGATACCCAATTTTTCTCTATATATTTTTAATATGCAAAACACCTTCAAAATAGCATATATGCATACATAAGCATGTCCAAGTATTTTATTATTTTTTCCATAATTTTGTAAGGGTTTAAATTGACTCATTTTCCCCTTTTTATCCATAAAATCCCCAATAATTATTTTCAAAATTATTATTTTGATAATTCACCTATTGTATTTCTATACTTATGCCAAAATATGGCTAAAGTAATTTTTTTTACATATTTTTACAATTTTATTTAGTATTTGTTAAGCTAAATTGCACATAATTGCAATAATAGCCTTTTTAGATTTAATAATATTTTATACGCATAAAATTGGATCCTGTATTTTTAAATTGTTATGTATTATAAATCATTTTAGCCCTTTAAATTAGTTTTTAGAAACTATTTACTCTTTTTTATAAATTAAATAAGGAAAAAATGGCTATTTAGAATATAGCCAAATTGGCTTTCAATTGTAGCGCAAAATTGGACCCCAATTTCCCAGCCCAATTTCAATTAAAACCCGACCCACACCCTTTTAACCCATACCCAAACCTGGATCCCCACCTACCCTTCTCATCCTAGCCATTGATATCTAAGATCAGCGGCCCCTATTCCCTCTTACCTTTTTTTTTTAACCTAAACGACTCCCTAACCTAATTCATTTCTTACCAAACCGCCGCCCTAGAATCCCCTTTCCTCTCCAATTCTCTCTGAGACCTAAAATCTAACCCTAGCCGCCGCCAACCAAACTAGCCTTAATCCCCTTCGATCCTCACTCAATCCATGGATTCCCATGGCTGTTTGAGACGTATACCTGTCTCCTACGTCTCCTGGTTGCCCGTTTTTGTGATTTCGTGTAAAGATCTCGAAGAGATCTAGTCCAGATCTTGCTCAACTTCCATCCATGGCTGTTCGAGTCAGATCCATGGCTTTTTCGGCTAAGACCGGTAACAATATAATGTTTTCTCATCTTATTTGGGTTCTCTGAAACCCTCACTCTTGAGATTTTCCGCTTTTCTTTAGATCTGTCTTAGATCTAGGTGTATCCATGAGTTTTTAACCGATTTTTTCTTCGTCTCTGCTATTTTCCTGAAAACCCTAGCTATAAATCCTCCGATCCTTTTAGATCTGTGATAGATCTATGGGTTTCTTAAGGTTTTCACATGTTTTCCTCAAAATGTTTCTCCGATTTCAAACGATTTCTTCATTCGAGACTAGGGTTTCAAAGTCCTTTTTACAAAAAACAATTTCTTTCTGATTTTTAGTAATTAATTTGATTTTTAGCATGATTAAACATTACCCGAGTCTTTCCTTTTTGCTCATTTTTGTCAAGAAACCCTAATGCTTCTGGGTTCGATTCGAAGTTTGAATTTGTTTGCGATGTGTTTGCATGACTATCATGAACATTCTAGGCTTTATATGTGTTCTATATGCTCTTGTGCTTACTGCTCTAATTCATTCTTAAGGTTTCTTTGATTTTGCCCAAACCCGTGCTATTTATCATGTAATAGGTCCGACTATTTGTTTTATTGATTGTTCACGTAATTTATGTTGATTCTATGTAATCTCCTTAAACCTACATCTTTGATTTTGGGTATTTTCCTTGTAACTCTGCACTGATTTTTCGAAATTGCTTCCTTACTTTTGTGATACTTTCCTTAGTTAGTGCTGATTCCCTATGATTTTCATTCTCATTTGTGATTCTCTGAACTAATTTTTTTCAGAATCAAATTGTACTCTACCTTGTGTATATGCACAAATATGCTGTTAATTAACTTGCACTTTCCTTATGTCTAAACTATTTTGTACTTAGTCCTTATTACATGCTACATGCTTTAACTATTCCTATTATGGTAAAATCAGCCTTACAAGCAATTCTTTTCCTTATTTGATACAACTTGTACCCGTTTGAACCATGGCTCCCTAATTGAAGGAAGTCCAGGTCCTTAATTGATTCTGATTCGTATTATTTCTATAATTATGCTAAGTCAGTACTTGTTACCTTACTTTTCGACCTATTTTTTAAAGTTATAAATACCCTAAGTCCTTTCATTAACAACACGGACAATAGTTCAAAACACACACATACACACTCAAACTCTCTCTTCTTCTCTACTACTTATGCTACTGCTTTGTCTAGCCGGCTGAAAGCCAAGGCTAGACTGTGGAACTCTACTTGCTTCACTTTTTCTGCACTTTGCTTCCTTAACTGGTATGTCCCTAGTTAAATTCTGAAACTCAACTCTATGTGCTCCACTGTTTGTCAATCCCTGTCTCTTTCTGCACTGACTTAATGGCTCGCGTTGTTTAATTGCACTTCATATTTACTGCTTTACTCAGCATGCTTAAGTTCTGCTCTCTCTTGGTCAAATGTAATC